GTCTCCTCCTGCCTTATATGCCTCTCTCTGCCCAGCTATATCCCTTCCTGTCTCCACCTTCTTAGTGCTGGGGTTAAAGGCGTATGACTCCCATGTGTTGGTTCCCGACTGCCCAGACCCAAATTAACCACACAGAAATTATATTAATTAAATCACTGTGTGACCCATTAGCTCTAGCTTCTTGTCATAAACAAAATATCACTTCAAGCTTCCAAGCTCATTGATTTTGATTTAAAATTTTAATTAATTACTTATTTGTGGTACTGGGAATTGAACCCTTGTTGGTTTCACGGGTGTTGGTGTGAAGGCCGTGGGGCAAACACTCCCTCTGTGCTGCTCCCAGCCCACTGCCCCCAAGCCTGGAGCCTCCACAGAGACACATGCCCAGCCCAACCCTGATTCATATGGTTTTAGTTTACATGTGTGCTCACACGCATGAACACAGCATGCCTGTGGAGGTCAGGAGACAATTTTGGGGAGTCAGTCCTCTCAGCACCAAACGTGCACAGAAATACCTACGCTCCCTGAGACGTCTCACCAGCCCCCCAACTCTTATTTTTTAATACCCAGAACATGAAGTTGGTTTTTTTTTTTTCAGTACTGTGTTGTGAAGATGTTCATTGCAGGTGTGTGGCATCATTGATACTGAACACTGCAGTTCTGAGAATGAGGGTAGGCTTTTGATTTTCAGTCCCCAATTACAAATACAGCCTCAGCCCAAATGTCACTGTCCTGTCTTTAGAAAGCTACTTAGGTCAGCTTCCCTCCCTGCAGGGAACCTGAGACACCTGGCCACATCTTGCACCACAGCTGGCAGCAGCAGGAGCAGTGGCCTTGTTTGCCTTGGTTCTTCTCGAAGCTTAAATGTCCCGGACTTTGCAGCCCCCCCCCCCCCCCCCGTAGAAGGATGCAAAGTTGAATGCAAACAGGGGGGCCATCGTCTGGCTTTGTTTTGTCATATGGAAAATATGGAAATCACCGCTACTCGTTGTGAGAGCCATCTGTGGAAGTGAGTTTGCAGCTTGAATGCTTCGCTGTAGATAGGCTGTATAAATGATATCACTCTGCTCACATCCGGTGCTCAGCACGTACTGGGCCGGTAGTGCGGAGGGAATGCTGGGTTTGTATGCTGGAGCTGTGCAGCCTTGAGAAACCCTATGGGAACTTCTGGAAGCATTGGCTGGCCACTGTTTTTAAACTGGGAGGAGGTGTCTGTGTCTCCCGACAGTGAGCATGGTTTCACAAAGCTAAGAGGTCTCCAGGACACAGGCTCACACACCTCAACCTAGCACTGGGGGGCTGAAGCTCTCAGAGTGTCTTCAGTGTGAGGCCATGCTGAGCCCTACAGTGCTCAGGCCAGGCAAGACCCTGCACCCACCACAAACAAAAAAAGAGTTCTGGGCTAGAGACGGTTCCGTTGGCGAAGTGCTTGCTCTGTTTTCTATTTTCTTTTTTTTTTTTAAGTTTGCCTTGTTTTTTTTTTTTGTTGTTGTTGTTGTTTTTTGTTTTTTTTTTTTTTAGATTTATTTAATTATGTATACAGTATTCTTCTGTCTGCATGTATGCCTGCAGGCCAGAAGAGAGCACCAGATCTCATTACAGATGGTTGTGAGCCACCATGTGGTTGCTGGGAATTGAACTCAGGACCTTTGGAAGAGCAGGCAATGCTCTTAACCACTGAGCCATCTCTCCAGCCCCTTCTATTTTCTTTTTAAATGTTTAAAAATTATTTGTGTGTGTGTAACATACACATTTGTGTGCACACAAGGGCCAGAGTACTTGTGTGGAGGTCAGAAGGCAGCTATCTGGAGTTGGTTCTCTGCTTTCCCCTTTATGAGGTTCCGGGGATTGCATGCAGACAGCTAGGCTCCACGGTAAGTGATCTTACCTACTGAGCAATCTTCCCAGCAGTTTTTCTGTTTGCGACTGGATAATTTAATAGTCACTTCTGAATGCCGTGTGCTTGAGCCTATAAGATTAGATTTAAATGCCCGCAAGTGTCAGAGGCTAGTTGTTCTAGCCGGCTCTCCCGTCTGACCTGAGTATTTAACTTAGAATCCATTCTCAGAAGTCTGAGCTCCCTCTACCTGCCTTCGAGGATCCCAAAGTATAGCCATGAAAGGGTTTCCAAGCAATGACAGGACTAGCGGGAAGGAGGTGTAAACATGGTCAGACCGAGCTGGCTGCAAAGTCTTCATTACAGTGTTGCGTCACACTGAGACCAGCTCGCTGAAGGACTGCTCCGCGGCTTGCCGCCTTCTCAAGCCAAGACAAAAACCAAAATCCCCACTGATCGGTGCTTATTTGTGGTGGCAAAGATGGCTAATTCAGAGAGCTTCTGAGGCTAACTTAGCAGAATACAAGGAGAGCACTCATGTTAGCAAGTAGCTCGGGACAGTTTCTGGACAGAGGAAGCATCTCATTGGTGGCTTTGCCCAACTATGTCTGTTAACAGAGAGCAGGCTTTTCATGTTAGGACCCTCCTCTCTGATAGGACCAGCATCCTCCAATCAATGATCACAAGCTGAAATTCTGAGTACTTTCCAACACGTTTTATTTATGTGTGTGTGTGTGTGTGTGTAGATGCATACAAGTGTGTATTCAGATATGTGTATGCATGCATGTGTATATGTGGACAAGTGTGCATATGTGTATGTGTGTATGTTTGTGTGCATGCATTTGTATGTGTGTGTGAGAGAGATGTCTTCCTCATTTTTTTTTCCACCTTATTGTTTGAAACAAGTCTCACGTTGAACCAGGAGCTCCCTGTTTGGCCAGACAAGCACTCCAGCAAGTCCACCACGCCCACGTGTGCTAGGACTGCATGTGTGCCACCACACCCACCACCCACATTTTCACATGGATGCTGAGCTCAGGTCCTCATGCCAGAGAGGCCAGTACTTTGCTGGTGGAGCCGCCTCTCCAGCCTTGAATAGACTGTCGGGCTATTTTCCTCTTTTTCTCATACGTGTTAAACTCCCAAACTGTTCATTTCTTAAAATGTTTATTAATTTTTAAATTAAAAAAATGGTCCTGTGTGTATGAGTGTTTTGCTCACAGGTGTGTATGTGCACCACGCATGTGCATTGTACCTGAGGACTTTAGAAGAGGGCACTGGGTTCCTTAGAGCTGGAGTTACAGTTGTGAGTTGTTGTGTAAGTGCTAGAGACTGAACCCAGGTCCTCTGGAAGATAACTGGGCATACTTCACCAGTGAGTTCAAGGTTCACTCACTCATTCCTGTGTTTCTAAATGCTTGGATCCCTCAGAACAGGAATTAAAGGGGTTTATGGGATGTCCAGCTTTTCACGTGGCCGCTGGGATCCGAACTCCAGTCCTTCTGCTTGCCCAGCAAGCGGCCTTAGCTGCTAATCCCTCGCTCAACTCTCCCTTCAGAAGACCCTAAAGTAGAATGTTTCTTTCCATCAGGAGCTTGGGGAATCTCCTCTTTAGTTCATAAATGAAGAGTCTAAGGGAAGAGCAAGAAGGGCAGAAGAGAGAAAGGGTGATGTTTATACAAAGCTCTTTCAGGACACACGATATAAATATAAACAAGATATAGACACCTTCGGGCAAATAAAGTCCCATAAATTAGGGCAAGCACATAAAGTGCCCCCAAAGGAAGTCAGGCTTGAAGGTTCCCATACCCAGAGAAGTGTGGGCAGGTGTGGTGCGCACACCACTGGTCCCAGCTCTGGAGGACCAGGAATCCAAGGCTGGTTTAACCCTCCCAAGAACAATGGCACTTTTAGCATTAGTGATGGTTGGCAGGGGCCAAACTCTTGAACAAAGGCCACAGTTTTCTGACTATATATGTTTCAACTTTTTAGAAACTGACATTTATATGTGTGTGTATATATATATATATATGCATGCACATGGAGGGGACAACCTGTGGGAGTCAGTTCTCTCCTCCCACCTTGTAGGTTCCAGGGCTCCAAGTCACCAGTCTTGACAGCAAGTGCCTTTGCCCTGCGTCCATCTCAGCAGCTCCCTAAAGATTAACAGATGCCATTGTGGCCTCTGTGCATCTCTACAGATGTCTTTGTTTTTAACATAAGGGTTTCAGTGTCAAGACATTCAGTTCCTGTTCAAGTGTGGATTTTACTTCTAGATTAAATAATGAGGAGAATGCAATGAGAGGTTTATAGTTATATGATATGGGATCCCCTCTGTATGCTGTGTAGTAAGGAGCAGCGGGACTTCCCACCACCCAGCTAGCTTTACCCGAAATAATTACACAGAAGCTATATTCTTTTGAACACTGCCTGGCCCATTAGTTCCAGCCTCTTATTGGCTAACTCTCACATCCCGACTAACCCATTTTTAATAATCTGTGTAGCCCCACGAGGTGTGGCTTACCAGGAAAGATCTTAACCTGCATCTGTGTAGGGTGGGAGCATCATGGCGACTGCCTGACTTGGCTTCTTTCTCCCAGCATTCTGTTCTGTTTATTCCACCCACCTAAGGGCTGGCCTATCAAAGACCAAGGCAGTTTCTTTATTAATTAACCAATGAAAGCAACACCTACATCAATGCTGTGAATACCATTGGTTAGTAAAGGACTGCTTTGAGCCTATAGCAGAGCAGGGCAGAACAGAGGTAGGCAGGGAAAACTAAACTGAATGCTGGGAGAAAGAAGGAGGAGTCAGAGAGAAGTCATGCAGCCTGGCCAGAGACAGATACCAGAACCTAGCCAGTAGGCCACGAGCCTCATGATGGGTTAAATTAAGATGTAAGAGTTAACCAGAAATATGCTTAAGCTATTGGCCAAACAGTATTGCAAATAATATAGTTTCTATGTGATTATTTCTGGAGTCTGGGTAACTGGGAAACAAAGAAGCGATCTTCAACAGTTATAAATGTGTTCCCTTAAAGACTAGTGATGGAAATGGGCCAGCCACTTTAGGCTGTGGGCATGCTCTAAGGCCTGGTGTGTCTTCTGCTTCTGATTGTATTATATTCTGACTTTCAATATACTCCACCATTGTCTCTCAACAGGACTTTTTAGACGAGGAGTCTCCTCACTATGGTCCCCTGTCCTGCACAGAAAGACATCAGCTTCTACCAGGGAAACTGGTAAGCGTGAATTTTTTTTTAATTACTTAGGTAACAACTGTAATTCAGCTATTAAATCAAAATAAAAATGTAGCTCAAATTAGGTGGTGGTTGCACCTCTGTAATCCCAGCATCCAGGAAATAGAAGCAGGCTAATCTCTGTGAATCCGGGGACAGCCTGGTTTATATAGTGCATTCTAGTCAGCTGGGGATACAAAAACATCCTATGCAGAAAAGGAAGAAGAAAGATGGAGGCTGGAGAGATGGCTCAGGGGTTAAGAGCATGGGCTGTTTTTCCAGAGGGTTTGAGTCTCAATACCCACCTGGCAGTTCACAACCACCTATAACTCCATTTCTAAGGGATCCAACACCCTCTTCTGGCCTCCTCAGATACTTCAGGCAAAATACCCATATACAGAAATAATTATAATAATTTAAAAACCATTCAGTGTGTATGAACGAGCTTGGAAATCTATGTATGTGGCTTATCTACAAAAGATTACCAGACAGGCAATGGATCCCTTCCTCTTTTTTCTTCTTAGTTATACCATGTGGTCTAAGAGGCAGCAATACGGCGGCCTCTTGATTACAGAACCATGAGGCATTGTGTAGCTGGGCTTGCCCCTCACTCCCACCCACTTCCTCAAAGCCTAGTTTCTGTCTCAGCGGGAGCTGTGGGGACTGGGTGGCATTTGAGCATGCCATTCAACTCCAGCGCTGGGTGTTCTCTCCGGCTCTGCCTGTGAGTGCTTGGGACTGAACCCCTGGGGCCTCACACACAGGCAAAGGCTGTACCTCTAAACCAAATACACCAGTCCTGTTACTTTCTATTTTGAGACAAGGTCGCACTAAGTTGCCCAGGCTAGCCCTGCACCCACTTTGTGGCCCAGGCAGATCTTGAACTTGAGATGCTCCTGCCTCTGCCTCCCAGGTGTTGCGACTCTGAGCCTGAACTTCCAGGTCAGGCTTGAAAACACAGCTGGATTTGCTCCTGTTCTGTGGCCCTGGATAGAAGTCTGAGAGCTTTGCTCTGTAACATCCTCATTTGGGACCCGTCACATCCTGCCTACTTTTTATCTTTGAAATTTTATCTATTTTTATTTTATGTGTGTGGGATGTTTCCTGCATGTATGTCTGCACGCGGTGTGCGCGCAGCAGTGCCCAGCATGTGTGCAGTACCCACAGACGCCAGAAGAGGGTGCTGGACCCGTGGGCACTGGAGTTCTAGATGGTTGTGGGCCACATGTTGGTGCTAGGAACCAGAAACTGGGTCCTCTGCATAACCACCCCCAGCACCTGTCTGGTAACTTTTTTAAAATATTTTTTTATTAATTGAGAATTCAAATGATATATTTTGGCCATATTCCTCCCCTCCAAACTCCTCTGAGGTCCACCCATCTGCACATCTCATTTTTGCTCCATCTGTCCCTGCCCCAATGAGTTGTTTGTTTTTTTCTGAAGGAATTATCTTGAAAACTGTGGGGTGGAACTCTCCTTTAGACAGTGAATAATGCTGTTTTTTTTTGTTTAGAAGCAATCCCGCCACAAACCACAGCGGAGGCAAAAGGGAAGCACTTGGCAGGGACCCTTGACCTGGAAAGACCTGTGTCCGTGTAGACCTCTGCTAGGTGAGAGGACACGCCCCCATGCCTGCCCACGTAGTCTGAGGGGCTTCTCAAAAGAGATAATAATTAGTAACAATGATATCTGTCCAGAGAGATATATTGGATCTTTGTCTATGGATTCAATTAATATATACCTGTACACCCACCCTATAACCAGGTACCATTACATCTAATCAAGAACAAGTCCTAAAGCAACAATACCTGAGTTCAGAAAACATTCCGTAGAAGATGGAATAGTAGGTGGGTGGGGGAAGGAGAGGGCTTTGGGAACGTGGTGAAAGAATCTGACGGGTGGTGTGTGGACAGCAAAACCAGGGCTCCAGAGAGAAGACCATGCAAGCTTCGTCTTTGTGGAATCAGAGCTGATGTGGGTTTAGAGGAGCAAGGAGGAAACGAAGGGAGAGAGGGCGGGGCCCGGGCCTGTTCCGAACAGTCAGACCAAAGGTAAAAGAACTGCATCCTGAGAAGGGCTCAGAGTCAGACAGCGCCAACACTGCCTGGGTGTGATGGCGGACAGAGCCTGGTGGTTCCCGAAAGGACAGAGGGTGGCAGAGGTTACAAAGACAAGCTTAAGAAGGAACATAAAGTGGTTTGTAAATCATTTAAAGCAGACAAGGATCAGCCACTCCTGACAGGTGTCAGGCTAGACTGGTGACCTAAACCAGTTTGTTTCACTCCCTGAAACCCTCAGCCAAACACCACCCGCAGGGTAGAATCACGCTGTGGACCTGCACTCTGCGGTGCCTGACAATGGCATTAGTTCCCTCCACTGTCCCATAGGGCCACGCTAGGGTAGCTCCCATTTTATTGTATTGACTTCTGTGGGACTGGAGACAGAATATGCCCGGTGATGCTCCACCACCGAGCTTCCCTGGCTCCTGGCACCTTTTAGTTTCACTGAAAAGTTTTTATTGTATTTTATGTGTGAGATTGTTTTTCCTGAAAGCATATAAATGCAGCATATGGGTGCTGGTGGCCACGGAGCCCAGAAGGCATCAGATGCCCCAGAACTCGGCTTGCAGAAGGTTGGGAGCCATTGGGAGCTGAACCTGGGGGCTCTGAGAGCAGCTCACACCCTTCAGGGCCACGTATCCCATGGAGAGCTCTCATTGCCAAGAGGAATAAACAGGAGCATCAAACATACTTTGCCTGAGATCCCGTGTCCCTTTACATAGAAGAGATTTAGGGCTCTGAGTGGAGAAGCTATTTACCTACAATCATACAACCTGCAGGAGCAAAGCCCGGATTTGAACCAAAAGACTGTGACTGATAGAAAACTTGCCATTTTTAAAGATTAAACGTGGCATCGTCCTGTACCCCGAAACACAACAACCGCGTTCCCCAAAAGGAGTGGCTTGTCTTTGCAGTCTGCTTCCTACAATGCTTTTGGTGGGTTCTGATCACAGGGTCCCATAGCTTTCCCCTAAGGAGCCTGCAGAGCTGCTCTGAGAGGCCAGATAGTAAATATTTTATCCCTTTCAAGCCACGTGGTCTCCATGGCAACCATTCAGCAGCACTGCTGAAACATACAAGAAGCCATGGACGGTCCACGAATGAATGGCCATGGCTGTGTTCTAATAAAGCTTCACATATGAAAACAGGCCGCTGGATGGATGCTGTCTTCTTAGTGGCTCAGTGGGCAAAGGCTTTCTGTGCTCCTTCACCCACCCCTCAGTTTGTTTTGTTGTTGTTTGTTTTTAATAAACACTGGCTGTTTCTGCCTTCATGTAACTAGGCCTCTAGGGGTTCTAGGATAAAATGTTATAAAATCGGGTTGGTTTTCACATTTTCAGACACGGTGCAACCAACCTCTTGGGTGAGGAAGAGCTTAGTCTTTAAGGCACTTTGAATGGGAAACTCACCTCCACCCTCATTCCTTCCTTCTCAGTAGATGCCTTGTATCCTGACGGCCTTACAGCCATCCCAAAGCTGGAATTGACATCTGTCTCATGTGCCAAGAAACCAATCCATGCTCTGTGTAAAAGACCCCCGGAGCAGGAGGCAGATGGAGCTTCGCATGTGACAAGAGGACCCCAGTACGTCAGATCACAGCTGTCCCCCCTTCTCCTGTATTTTACCTGATATTATTATTTCTTTGCTATGCTTTGGATGGAGTGTTTTGGATAGCGCTCTGAGCAGTGCGTCTGGAATCCAGACGTTGCCTTTGAATTTCGTGAGACGGCTTTGCAGGGCATACTACAAATTCTCTGCTAAGTTAGCTGAGGTGAGCCATGGACATTGCTTGTGTCTGTTGTCCCGCACCCCAGTCTCCGGAGTCAAAGGACTGACCGCACACCTGAGCTTCTGTTGGTCTGGCAGGGTTAACCCCCCAGTGAGAGTCCTCTCTGCTCCGGAGTGGAGGAAACAAGACTTTGAATTGCAAATGTCGTATTTTCATTTTTGGTTAGGCTTTTCTGTCCTTAGTAACTTCTCTCTGAAGGAGATAGAGGCTTCTTGCTTGACTAGAAGTTGACTGGACCAGGAGGGGCTACTGGGAACTATGGTGCAGTTTGGCCCCTGCTAACCTGCAGTTTTTCACCTGCAGGAAGCCACTCTCTTCTCCACCCCAGGTGCCCTGTCCCCGCAGGAGGCTCCACCTTGGGTCCAGAGCTTCTAGCCTGCACCAGGATGAATGAGGACCTCAGTGTACAAGTGAGTATGGATGGAGATGCTTCATTTCCAGCACTGCCGGGCTCTGGTCCTCTTTGGAACTCACATATGTAAGGAATATCCAGCTCCAAAGCCAGGAAGTTAAAATTCAGTCATTTGGGGGCTTTCTGTTACTCATGTAGCATAAATATGACTGGAGAGATGGTTCATTGGTTAAGAGTCCTGAATGCTCTCATGGAGGACCTGGGTTCAATTCCCAGCACTCCTATGATGACTTACAATCATTCCTAACTCTAGTTCCAGGAAATATGACACCCTCTTCTGGCCTTTATGGGTACTGCACCATGTGGTGCACACACACACACACACACACACACACACACACACACACACACAGGCAAAACACCCATACACGTAAACAAATCTAAAATAAAAATAAAGACAAGTTCCGGGGTGAATGAGTAAAGGGGGAACTGGGTGGAGTGCGCTGAACTTGGTGCTATATCTTGTTTTTTGTTATTTAAATTTGCTAATGCAGCAATAACTCAGCGGCAATGGCTTTCCAGGAACTGAGATCAAGGCTAGATGATCCTTGAGGCATTGGCTCCTTATCAAAGAGTCCACTTTGCCAGAGGCAGGCACAGACGGTACTCTGCTGAAGACGACGGTGACCTGGACCGCCTTCAGAAAGGCCATTGTTCAACCACCCCAGGCCAATGGATGTACTTGGTGTGCTTTCCTCAGAGTCAGGATCTGCCCATCCACCGTTCTTGACTGGAGGAAAACTCTCACCCCAAACAGTTAGTTAATTCTGTGGATGGTGTCACAGAATTGAGAAATGCCAGAATACTAGAACACTTGATCCTTCTTCCCACCCCTGTCCCAAGCAAAAAATACAGTTCTCTGTCCCAGCGTTCTATCCCTAGACAATCAGCAACCTTCTTTCCCTAGAGTGCTGCCTCTCATGGAAGTCTCTGATAAAGGGAATCAACACTGTTTGGCCTCTGGGGCCTGACTGCTTCTAACAAGCCTTAGGTTTCTAGTCTATACCAGGTCCTCAGCCCTGCTGTACGGACAGCCCCTTTCTTCCCCGCTGGCTCACAGGCATCTGAGCAGCTCCCGGCCTGTTGGGAACAGTACTTGAGTCCTTATACCGTGCATACGCTTCTGTATAAACTGTTTTAAAATGCTTCTGTGTGTAGGCCCACAAGTAGAGTTACTGCCTCTTGTGTGGTCATGCGGTCCCCTCGTGTTTAATGTCTCGATGATCTACAGAACATATTCCATGGCCTATGCTGGTTTACTCTGCCACCATCAGAACCCGAGGATTCTAATTTCTCTACGTTATCCCAACACCACGCGACTGTCGCCAGCTCAGAGAATGCAAAGTGAAAACCCGAAGGGTTTGATTTGCATTTCTCTAACGAATAGTGATGTCTGTCATCTTTGCATGTGTCTGTTGGCCCTTATCGATTTCCATGTAAATATGTCTCCTGAGATCAGAGGCCCCACTTTTAAAAGGTTTTCTCTCTCTGCTTTCTTTTAAGAGTTGTTTCCATCCTCCCACTTACGTGCATGCGTCCACTTCTATAAATTTTATATAATTTCTGATATATAATTGTGTGTACTTTTTATATTGAACAATTGATGCATGATTTATTTTCATTGGTTCCCACCTTGCTGAGAAGCCCAGGACAAGAGAGGGAAAAGACATGAGCCTCCTTTGCTATCACTTAGCCTTCTTCTGCAGTTTTAATACAGGAAGTTGACCTCAGCCACGTACAGGAAGTTTGGTTGTTAGTAATTTCCCTTTTATCAGGCACTAATTTCACAACGAAGAGGAAAGAGGCAACACGAGCTGAGCTGAGCGTCAGGCACGGTGCAGGGAAGCATTTCCACAGCCACATTAACCCTCTCCAAGCATTTCCACAGGCCGCTTTAACCCTCTCGGCCTCCAGAGTCGGGGCGGTCTCTGCTCTGGCAGAGGAGCCACCTGGAGATGGGGGAGTTAAATCGCTTGAGGATGACTCAGCTAGTAAGTAGCAAACTCTGGGCTAAGTTCAGCTTCCCGTAGCTTCAAAGGACCTGGGTTTCAGCATCCCCTCTTAGCACACTGGGTTTCGCTGCTTCCTGCATTAAGATCACTCGTGGCTGTACTGAAGAGATTCCTGCTTGGCACATCTGACAGGATCTGGTGATCTGTTCTGTGGGGTCTTGACCAAGTTGTTTCATCGGTGATCTTGACACCCATTTAGAAACAGGAGTCCCCAGAATCACAGTAGAAACTCTTCCAGCATGGTGCTGGAAGACGGTCAGGGTCCTCTGCGGAGGCTCACACCACCTTCTCACAGCCCCAGGAAGCTGTCTGAGTCTGTGCGCTGTACAGTGACCTAAACTGCAGCTTCTCTACACTGTCACTTTGGGCTTCTGCTCTCCGTAAATGCTTACAGCCTAAGGTTGCCATCTCCTCCAGCCTGCCCCCACCCTGTTCTCTGAGCACATCCCCGAAAGCCTCCCTTCACCTGGCACCCCGCCTCTGAGCCTCTAATGGTGAGCGTAGTGTCCTCATGAATCATAGTCCAGGGATTAGAACAAGTACAAAGTAAGCATGAGCAGAACCCATAATCCGTGTTCGTCCAGGTACGCAATGACAATGGCCTTTCCCTAACCCCTGGCTGTCAGCCACGATCTCTGTCCCTCACCAACCTTACGATGAACTTCTTGCCTCACACTCAGGTTCTTCTGTCACTTGTCACACCTGTGTTTCTACCTTCATTTCCCTGGCATTGCCTTATGGTTATCTTGTACCTCAGCCAAACCAGGAGGCTGTGCGGCAGCGGTGAACCTTGCAGACCTGCCGGGGGCGTTCCCCTGCAGCAATGTTGTTTCTCCATTGGGCAAAATTCTGTTCACTCACCAAGGCTGGTTTCAAACACCAGCTGCTTCTCAAGGCTCTGTGGTAACTCGGATTTTTAGGGCTCACAAATCTCCACTTCTTGAGGGAGGGTTTGCTAATGATGGGGGTGGGGGGAATTCAAGGTCAGGTTTCCCTGGGTTACCTAGGGAATGCTGCAGGAAAACCAACCCCTGGCCAAAGGGCCTTCCTTTCTGGATTCGTGCACCCCCTTTCCACGGCCCCATTAACTAGGGTTAAAATTGAAATTTACTTTTAAACATTTTTCCAAGCGCGGAGGGGAGCGGATCACAGCCCCTGAGTGGAGGTTGGAGGGCAATTTTTGCAGGAGTCCCTTCTCTCTTCTACTGTGCAGATCCAGAGATCAACCTTAGGTCATAGTCCAGGCAGTGAGCTTCTTACCTACGGCACCGTCTTGCTAGTCCTGACTAGATGATTTTTAGAAGACTCCTATAGCCCACACTGCCTAGAACTCACTGTCTAGCCTAGACTATCCAAAGACTTTCATCCTCCTGCCTCAGCCTTGTGTGTGCTGGGATTCTAAGTGAGTACCATGTCACCAGACTCAAGGCCCCAGTAACTGTGTTCACCCTTTCCTGTCAGCATAGTCTGGTCACGTGGTCGTCACTCACTGTTTATCCATCTGGGGTGGGTAGCCTGGGGTACTCATGTCACGTGGTCGTCACTCACTGTTTATCCATCTGGGGTGGGTAGCCTGGGGTACTCATGTCACGTGGTCATCACTCACTGTATTTATTTTTCTGTCTGGGGAGGGTAGCCTGGGGTACTCATATCACGTGGTCGTCACTCACTGTATTTATTTTTCTGTCTGGGGAGGGTAGCCTGGGGTACTCACGTCCTGGAAGAGAGCACACCTTGCAGCTAATTGGGAGTCATTTCTCTCCATCCTCTGTGTGCTCCCGGGGACTGCCATGCAGTCACTAGGCGTGGTAGCGGGCACCTTTACTTGTTGAGCCATCTTGCTGGCCTCGGTTCCGTATTTTCGTCCTGTATCAGGCAATAGGCTTGGTGGAGAGCATTAGACGGGGACACAGAAGCAGTCTGCCCTTTATTCAGAATGTGAAGTCTCCATGGTAGATGCCAATGGGCTGTTGGCATGTAGACCCTTCCCAGAAGCTCCCCAGGTCCTCGCTCTCTGCAGAAAGTGTACTTAGCACTGTCGAGAGTTCTCAGCTCACCTGGGGCTTCGGGGTCCTTAGCCCTAGAGAGAGAACCCTAGAGAGAGAACCCTTCCTTAGTCACTAACGAGTGTGTGCCCAGCAACCTGAGTAGATGTGAGGTCTTGTCCTCCCCCAGCGGCCACTCTGTCATTGCAGGCTGAAAGACCGACAGGGAGGGCTCAGCAAGGTGGCCGTGTTGGGTCTCTCAACTGTGCTCCTAAGGTCTCGGGATTTATTTCCCACATTTTCCCACTCCCACAGAGAAAGTTCTACTCTTTCATTATCTAATTTTATCACAACGGAAGATGAAACCGAACACCAGTGTTGGTCAGAGGGTCTTTGAGTGAGTCAAGGAGTCAGGCACGGAGAGAGTCTCAAGGGGTGACCTGCAGTATTCAGGCGTCCTATGTGGGGCATTCTTAAGGAGAACAGAACTTGCTTAGGGACCCACAAGAGAAGCAAGCGAGATTACATGGAAGCCTTTGGATGAAATGTGTTTCCTGGGGCTCCACAGCGATGTGGAGGAAGATTCAGTGTGTGAGAAAACAGACAAGAGGACCCTGGAACACGAAGCTGCTGAGACCACAGGACGAGTACAGAGAAGCTCACCCTACTGCCAGCTCCTGCTGATGAATTTTTAGCCACATGAATAAGGTTAGGGACTGAGCAGACCTGGCTGAAGACTGGCCATGTATTAGCTGTGGGAACTTGTACACACGGTTGCACCTGCCTGAGTTTGTGTCCCCTGCAGAAGGGAATGTTACTTTGCAAGGCCTTTGGGTATCTACACGCATACATACAAACACACTCCTCCGTGTCTATTACATACGTACCTACACATGTGTCTATGCAGCTAAGTTCCTGCCTACTGACTCGTGGAAACAAGCCACACAGATGCCACGCAGCGGGAAAACAGTGGCACTCCATGACCGGCTCCTCTTCTTGCCAGTGAGCAGGGAAGCTTTTCTTCTCATGGATCCTCTGACCAGCATCGCCAGGGCCGTCACCAGAATGCAGACTCTTAGGTCTGTTGGCTCCAGGCGGACATAAAGTTTGGGGCGTGTGGAGAAAGGAGGTTGCTTTCCTCCCATACATCTACACCTCTTTGAAATCCTTGCTTGTTGGCCACACTGCCCACAGCCTGACCGCACCTCAGCCTCGGCCAGTCTCTTTCCTAGGTCAGCAGTAGACCGCAGTACCTCACGCTTTGGTGCTCTCAGAGGATGCAGTGTGAGCAGAGTTTCTGAGATGCACAGACAGTCCTGCCGTGCTGGGGACAGTGGTCAGGAGCACAGTCTCGCGCTGTCGCCCCCTCCACAGGCTGTGTCCATTTCCTTAGAATCACGATTCCCTCCGGGCAATGGCCCCTCCTCAGCCTGCCTGCCTGCTGCTCCTCAGGCTTTGGCTTCTCTGCTGGGCTAAAGAGTAGGCAGCTGTTCTCTTAGTGCCTTGCAAACCTGGGTACATGCTAGGTGCTTGTTCCTGCCCTGAATGTCCAAGGATTAGGGAATTCCATGATGGAGCACTTGGGAGACTGAAACAGGAGGGTGGACTGAGTCTGAGGCTAGCCTGGGCTACAGAGTGAGACCCTGCCTCAAAACAAAACAAAACAAATCCGATGTTCCCTTCTTCCACTGGTCTCTGATGCGTGCCTACAAAGAAACTTGGTAGCGTGTGTGTTTGGGTGTGTTGCCTGCTTTGCATGCATGTGTACCACGTGTATGGAGTGCCCAAAGAGAGCACTGGATCCCCTGGGACTTGAATACAGACAGCTGTGAGCCACCATGTGGGTACTGAGAACTGAACCCAGGTCCTTTGCAGGAGCATCCTGTTTTCTCAATCACTGAGCTGTCTCTCCAACCTCAAGATTTACGTGTGTGTGTGTGTGTGTGTGTGTGTGTGTGTGTGTGTGTGTGTGTGTGTAAAACCCACCATGCATGTGGGCACTAACAGAGGCCAGAAGAGGGAGCTCCTTTGGAGCTCGAGTTTCTAGAAGCTGTGTGGTTCTCAGCACAGGTGCAGGGAACTGACCTCGGATGCTGTAAAGCAGCAGGTGCCCCGCACTGCAGAGTCATTTCCCCAGCCCCAACCTGGCTCCGCAGTAAATGCTTGCCAACAGTATCTGTGCCTTTGACCCAGAGTCAGAAGGATCAGAGGCGTCGAGCTCAGAGGCTTCCTCCCGTCTCAGAGAGCAAACGAGTCGGAGATGAAAATCTGTACTTAGAGTTTTAAAGACCTCAACTATTTTTCCTCCCTTCGATTCTCGTTCATGTCACAACTTGTTTCTGAATGAGACAGGTTGTGACCGGGACAGCAGTCACCGAGGCAGAGGGTGGGATCAATATGATACTATTTGGGGGATTTTCTGGCTATTGTCTGTCCTGTTTTCTCAGGCTGTGTGGAGGCGCAGCATTAATAACCTTGGAGAATAAATAACATTGCCAGCTACGTGATTGGGCCGTGCTGATGTTGACTGATAACTGCTTCTAAGTGAAGCTTTCAGTGTTGGGCGTGCCCCACGGGTCTGAAGGTGTGGTGTGCTTTGGGTTAGAAAGAAGGGGAGAAAGAAGTAAGGAAATTTCATTTTGTTCCTGTGCCAGTTCAGCCACACACTCTTCCTCTCTTCGGGAGCATTTAAATGGACGCAGAGTCCCGTCTTAGGTCTGCATAAACTCTGGCTGCTTTCTTTTCTGTCTTGTTAATTTGACTAGCTGTAGCTGGCTACACTCAGCCCAGTAGTAAAATTCCATTGGCAGCACCTGTCCATCAGGAGGAATTTCTTTCCATTTCTAAAGAGGAGTTAAAGCAGCATTTTATTGAGAAAAAGCAGTCCTAGAAGATTATCTAGGCTAATGAATTCCTAAAATCCCGTTTTCTTTCCCTATTGTTCTTTCTACTTACTTTTCTATGTCCACATTGACATACTGTTTCTCTCTCTCTCTCTCTCTCTCTCTCTCTCTCTCTCTCTCTCTCTGTGTGTGTGTGTGTGTGTGTGTGTGTGTGTGTGTGTGTGTGTGCGGCCCGTGTTTGCTGATCCAGCCCATAGGAGACTCTCATTTTGATCCATGCTTTGCCAACCCCGCCCTGTGGTAACTCCTGCTCATAAGAGCGAGGGCTGGGGCCTGGGTTTTCATGTAAATGGGATTAGGTCTCTATTTGAATGGATTGCCCGAGAGGAGAGCATGTTCTTCCTGGGTGTTTGCTTCATGGAGTGAGCGAATCTGCCACAAGTAAGTCAGACTCCTACCTGAATTTACTCTATTTCTTGGTTTTCTATGCTTTTAAAATATGTTCAGCAGATTCTTCCTCAGTCTGTCCAGGCCACAAGGTTGTTGGTGGGTTAAGTCTTATATGAGTGTGGGAGAGTGGTCTAAACGGGGTTCAAGTTCCTCCTGTCCCGCTCCACATACATGGACATCTAGAAGGTCTTCCCTCCAATTCTCCTGTACTGCAGCCTCAAATCTGAAATGAGCTTTGAAGAACAGAAAGCCAACCCTTTCCTCCGTCTATTCTCATATAATGGATGAACGTGTTCCTGAGCTACACTTTTGACAGGCTAGGGTTGAGTTCTGCTGCGTGTCATATCCTGGTGGCTGAAATTTATAAAGATTAACAACCCGAGAGTTAAATCTGCCTGCTTCCACAGTGACCCTGCAGGACTATGGGGGTGACCCTGCAGGACTATGGGGGTGACCCTGCAGGACTATGGGGAGACGGATGGCCACGCAGTTTGTGAGGTTTCTCCCAGATGGCACAGGACGTTGGTGTGGTCAGTGAGCATTGACAGTTGTTAAAACACTTCCGAGAATGTTTCAGCACAAGAGATGGGAGGTTTTCTACTGTGCAAGCAAGGGCCTTCCGACTGTACTGTCTAAGGTTACAGTGAACAGAACACTGTAGGGCCCTACAGACAAAACTTGTCTGTGGCCTCGGGGGCAAATCTTACATGTTTACCATAGTTGTGTTTTGGCTTTAAACAGGACAACCAGACTTTTAAAATAGTAGTATTGTTACAAAAAGGTGAAGGGTGTTCCTCCCTCCCACTTTCGGAAGCCGTCTAGTAGGGCATGAACACACTTCTGCCTACGTTCAAGCATTGAGCACCAAGGTGCCAGCAGACAGGGCCGGCGTTAGTACTGTAACTCATCAGAGCGGATGACATGGAAACACATCACAATTAATAGTTACTTTTTAAAAGATTTACCATGTGTCCATGTGAATGTATGCACATATATGTGCACGTGTCTGCAGAGACTGGAAAAGGGTGTCAGAGCCCCTGGAGATGGACTTACAGGTTGGAGCAAGCCACCATCCGGTATTGGGGACTGAACTCAGGTCCTCTGCAAGAGCCACCGGCTCTCTGAACTGCCGAGCCTCTCTCCAGCCCATGTTTGTATTTAAATCTTTGTAAGTCTAAACAGTTTAGACACTCTCTTTCCCTACACCCCACATCAGTGCATACTCAGAGTTAGTCTGTGCTAGAGAAGACACTGTGTTTAGTTCAGTGTGGTTCAGAAGACTGACTGCCTCCCAGACCCTTGGTAGACTCCTCCTCCCTGGCCTTAATTCCTTGCATTTCCCCCCGAAAACCCTCTGTAGAACAGTTTTGGGGAAATGAGATTACATATACATGTATGTTGTTTTAATGTACATGTGGAGGTCAGAGGCTATTTGTAGTTTCCTTTTTCCCTCCACATTTCTGGTTTCCAGGCATTGAACTCAGGTCATCAGACTCAGCATCAGCGCCTTCCCCTGCTGAGTCTGCTCATCTCCCCTGATGTCTGTAGATTCTAACAAACTAAATAGACATAGACAGAGCTCCTGCCCGGCATGGCCAAGGCTCTTGGTTCACCATTACTGCTAAAACCAACAATGAAATAAAAATAACAAAAACAAGCCCTCACCAAGGCTTTCTGTGGCCTGCCACTGGCTGTAGCCTTTGACGATTCTGCATCCAATTGATCATACTATGCACCTGTGTGCAGTTATGTGCGTTTGCATTTCACAGTGTCGGTGTCTGCCACAGACATGCCAGCAGGATAGCACTTCTGAATTCAGCTTCCCTTCCTAAACACATAACAAGCAATGCATGCCAAGCAGAGCAAGCTCCCAGGAAAAGCCCAGGGCTTAAAAGGAAGCACTGGCCAGACCAAAACCCACCTTTGCTTTTTGAAAGATCGTAAGCGTGTGTATAAATCCTAGTGCCAAAATCAGATCCTCTCTAATCGAGAACCCTTACTATAAATTTCAAGGTTTGAAAGAGACTTTTACAACTTTCACAACTTGCCCTGGCAGTTCAATACTGCCTTTGAATGGAATCATGAGTGTTGACCTGCTTGTAATCTATCAAATCCCTGCAATATGGGTTAAGTCTAAAGTGTATAATTTATCTCTCAAGAAACCCAAGAGCCGTTTCAGGTTGAAAGTTGGATGCTGAGTAGCTGTCTCATAAATAAAAATGTGACAGTCACATAGTGCAGCCCTCGAACAAGACCAGGCCTTGAGTGTGTGAAATAAACTCCATCTGCCCTTGGGGTTTAGCATTTGTTTTGCTCAAGGATGTATCAGGTTTCCTCTAAAGTAGGGTGTTGTTTGTGAGAACGGATCTGAGAAAGTGTGCGGATGAAGATTCCCTAAAGGCCCCACTCCCCAGATCTTCCCCGGAGCCCAGGAAATAGTGGCTTGATTTAAAGCTGTTGAGGATACTGGTCTAAAACTGCCTTTCTGGAATGCACACTGTTAAACCACTGACCACATGTCTCCTTGTTCCCTGCAGGAGAATGGTGTTGGTCACCTGTATTCTGAGAGCTTGCCACAGCTCAGGTTTGTCCTGCTTTTGAACTTGGGTGCCCATTCCGTGGGTTTTTTAACGAAATCACTTGCCCTCCATGTTGAAGGTATTTCTTGTCTCCTTTCATCAGGGAGTCTCTCACACAACCCTCGGCCAATCACACTTCATCCTCAGAGAGCACTGTGACTTCGAGTGGTGAGTGGAGGCAGGACAGAGAAAGCTGGGGTTCTTGTTACTAACTGAGCCCTGGTGTTTGGCAGCCTGCTAAGGGGCGTGCAAATAAGAGGGGCCTAGGCAAATGCTTCGTTTGCATGGCTCTCACAGCCAGCCTCTTCCTGTCCCCAGACTCTGGATCAGACACTTTGCACATGACTCCTGGGGACCTTGACTGCAAATCCCTCTGCGAGGAGGAGGAAGCAGGATCGGCCTCTGCCATGCCAGGTAATGCTGTTGCAAGCCCCTAAGTTGCGCCTACAAACCAGTCAGGTCAGTGGCCCTGGGAGCTTGATAACGTGGGGTGTTCCTCTTCAGAAAGTGATTCTTGTCAAATACCTTGATGCAGTCTGTCTGTTGTGTGAGGGTGATGGCACTGTCTCAATCTGATAGGCAGACGAAAGGTTAGGATATGTTATAGCAGGCCTTAAATATTGCCATTTGACAGAAATGGTTTATACTTAGTTAGGTGTCATTATGTCAGCCCCAGCCCTAAAATTCAAGGAAAAACAGAAAACTTCCATAGAAGGAATCATATTTTCCAAAAGAAATTGATATCTATTTTGCTCTTATTTCGTATAGTCGTTTATAACCCTCGAGTCTTCCAGAAGCAGGAAGCACAGGGTTGAGGCAGTGCAGGCCGCATTCTGTGCAGGGTGTGCAAAAATGAAGAGAAGTCACTACACATGACAGTGTCCCCAAAGCGTCCCTTTTCTCAGCCTGACAGCCTGGCATCTGGGAGTGTCCACGTCACAATCACTACCAGCCTTGCAGACAATATTTGCAAAACTATGTGTCAAGCTGCAGGAAAGCCAAGTTGCAACCACTTCTCCTTCCACATAGCTCTGTAGTAGAAAAAGGCCGCTTTAGCCCGGGAAAAGCTTAAAGAAACAGCTAGCCCTGTTTGAAAGGCCGCTCCTGCATCCCTGGCTGTGCACTGGCAGACATGCGTGTGCTCGGGAGCCATTAGCTGCTGTCACATGTCAGCCTTTGCTTTTGCTGGTCTGGGACATCACCACCCCGCTGTCTCTTCCTCTTTTGCTTGTCACTGCTTCCCCAGTTTCTCACTGCTTCCTCTTCTCGCAGGCACCAGCCCAGCTCCGAATAATGCTGCAAGCCAGGACTCCGTGAGGGCAGACAAGGCCGCATCGCAGCTGGTGAGGAAACCGTCCATGTAACAGCGAAGGCAGTGACAAGCTTTGAGGATCCAGCTGTCCCTTCGAATTTACATAATGCTCTTTGAAAATCATATTTTACTCTCTCAAGATATTAGGAAACAAATCTGAGTTACTAGAATTTAATTATATGGCCAGGGCATTATCGACTTGGGTAAGCTTGGCGATGAGTCCAAGTGAGGATGGCCTTGCTTCATGCTGAATGTCATTCACTCGCTAATGCATCCTAGATCAGAGACAAGGTGATGAGTGCATCATTGCATACAGCTACACAAATCAGTAATGTGTGTATGTGTTGTGTGTTTGTGTGTGCATGTTGTGTGTGCATATGTGTGTTGTGTGTGTGGTGTTTATGTGTATTTTGTGTGTGTTGTGTGTGTACATGTGTGTTGTGTGCATGTGTGTGGTATGTGTTGTATTGTGCTTTTGTGCATATGTGTGTATGTATATGTATGCGTGTGTGGTATGTATATTGTGTTGTGTGTGTTGTGTGTATGTTATGGGTGTGTTGTGTATACATTGTATGTATGTGTTGTGTGTTTGTGTGCGCATGTGTGTGATGCTGATCGTGTGACAAAGCAGACAGTCAGTGATTATCATGAGATTACTGGTTTGAAAGAAGAACTGGTTGGGGTGAAAGCCAGGAGGATCACGGGAGGTGCGGTGAGAGCGACATGGTTTTAAAGGTTAACACTAAGCACTCACAGGAGAACTCCTTTCATGAAGGAAGATCCATGTCGCTCGTGAGAAGGGTTGAAGGAGAGCCTGGAGACTTTGCTCTAGGGCCATGATTCTCCAAGGCCCTCGCTTATATTTTACTACCTTTGTTGTATGTGTGAAGGTCCATTGCACGTGCATCCATGGTTGAAGGGTAGCCTGCTTCATGGTTCTCCAAGGGTTTTTCTTAGACATTACTCCCTCTGGTGTGTGTGGGGGGGGGGGGGCTAGGAAGAAGGTGCAGGCTGGATATATAAGTATTGTTGTCTTCAGCTCAGTGCAGCGTCAAGAACCACAAAGATCCATGCAGGTAATTCAGGAAAGCTACAGGATGAGGGTTTGGGCGCAGTGAGGTAGATAACAATGTTAAAGTCAAAAAGGAACAGGGTGAGTGATGGGCACGTTATTTGGAATCCTCCTTCCGTGTGGAGCAAAACGAGGATGCAGTGTTGGCTGCTGTAGGTGCTGCTGTTTCCCCTTCTTAAAAGGGGCAGAGGAGCATGGTTTCTGGGTTCTAGTGGAGACATTGTCCTGGCTGTTACTGTGTTTTATTACTGGCATTTAGGAATCTGGGTCTGTGATGACTGTAGATCTAGGTGCTGATATCTGTTCTAGTTTTTACTGTGTGGATGTTCTGATTTTTGGTTTCTCTTGCCCTCTCTGGTTCTTAGGAGGGTGTGTTTACTGTAGGTTGCCTGGTAGGAAATACTTTTGAGACCCTGCTGGGTGTAGCTGCTGGGAGTTCCAGGCAGAATGTGTTTCTAGGTTCTAGGAGCTGATAATTCGGAAAAGGGATGAGCTTAGAAGTAGGAGGAAGCGGATCAACATGACAGAGGAAAAAAAGATGTGTCAGGGATCTGCATAGAGCCCTGGGAGTGGGGACTAAGGGGGAGGAGAGGCCACAGCATGTGTTCTGCTGCATTAGGCCTATTTTCTGTGAGCTCCCACTCATCTGACTGTGTCAGCATCTTACAAACGACTGTGTGCCTACAGCGTTCCCACTAAGTCTTCCAGACCAGTACAGCACAACCTGCTCACACAGTTATGCCTGTGTGGCGATCCTTGCAGCTTTAGAGCAGGCAGGGAAAACCTGATCCATGAAGAGATGAGAATGAACCTTGGCTCACTCCAATTTTACTGTAACCAGTGCTGGACCAAGACTTTGAGGGTCTGACCCAGATCATTTTCTTTAGCCATGTTTGAGAACAGCACAGTTTTGAAAAAGGTATTTGGATAAAGTACACAACAATTTAAGAAATGTTTACATTGAGATTCTTTACAGAGTCCATCTGGTTTCTTTGAAAGAATAGGTACTGGTGACTCAGAGATAGTGCCCAAGATTTAGGGTCTAGGAGTTTGATTGAGGTAAACACAATGCCTGTGGGTGTTGGGGTTGGCCTGGCCCAAAGATAACATAGTCATTTAGGCTGTTGTGAACCGCAGGGACATCACTCATAAAAGTGAGTTTTATGGGAGAGATGCCTCAGTGGTAAGAACACTGGCCGCTCTTCCAGAGGTATTGAGTTCACTTCCCAGCAACCATGTACAATGGTTCACAACCATCTATAATGATGCCCTCTTCTGGTGTAAAGGTGGACTTGCAGATAGAGCACTCATCTATCCATAAAATAGATAACAAATCTTTAAAAAACAAATAGATAAATAAATCTTAAAGAGTGGGTTTTATGGTCAAGATTTAGGGGGAAAGGTCTTAGATAGGTAAAAGCAAATTCTGAGAGATAAGGCAGAGCCTGTCTCATCAGGCAGCAAAGGATCAGCAGGCTGTCAAACGACATCATTCCTAGCGTTCCAGGAGGAGCAGGTACACACCTCATTCCTTTGTAGAGGCCAGCTGTGTGTTTAACTTTCCTGGCTTCTCTGTGCGCACAGGCTTTTTGCCCTCTACACCCCTGGCACACACACAATTTTTTTTATAGCAGCTGGTTAATGGTTTTAAAACATTTGAATGAAGCTATCCATTCGATTACATTTTGATTCAAGTAATCCTAGCACTTGACTGCGTGAGGAAGGAGGATCACTAGTTCCAGGCTAGTACGGGCTCGTGGTCTACATATTGAGATGTTGTCTCAAATGACAAGGAAGCAACAAAATTCTGTGTGTGTGTGTGTGTGTGCGTGTGTGTGTTCATGTGGAGTGAAGGTATAAAAGAATGGATCTTAACAGGCATGTTTCTATAATGCCATGGAAGGCGCCCCTTGCTGTAGCCTGAGATGGCGCTGTATACATCCCCACACACCACCCTGTGTGCCTGGGTGGAGGAGCTGGAGCACAGCTCCTTCCATGCTGGAGCCCCAGTGGCTCCTCCTCCTCATGCACATCACTAGTTTCCTTCGTGACAACTTTACAGATCCTACATTTATGTTAGTTTGGCCTCCATGCAATCCTTTCCACTGGCCCTGTCTGTGCTGGCCTTCATTCCAGTTCCCAGAGTGCTGCAGGGCGATTTGATAGACACAGGCCAGGAGAGGACAGGAGGCAGGGAGCTTTGCTTCCCACACATGCCAATCAAAAGTTCTTCCAATTTTAGGAAGCGGGAGAGGGACTCGGAACAGCAGAAGACAGAGGGAAGGACGGCACCGCAGGAGGTAAGGCGTGCGCACGCACAAACACACGCAACCTCACGTGACCTGTTAGTGGTTCCGGGTGATATATCATAGGCAAAGCTTGTCGGCCACCTACCTACAACACATTCCGCACCCTGGGATAAGATCAGCCAATAGGACTGACCCATGGGACAGGCCTGGTGGCTCATATCTCTAGTGGTGGCACTCTAAGTGGAAGCAGGAAGGTCCGCAGCTAAAGGTCAACCTTAGATAAACAGTGTGTTCACAGTCACGCTGGGGTGCATATGGCCCTGTCTTCAAAATAACCCCCAAGCAAACACAAAATACAAAACAACCCCCCAAACAAAAGCCAAACAAGCAAACCTTATTGAGATAATACTATCGTCATAATCTGAGCATTCAGCTTGCTAGCTGCCTAATTTCAGCCCTCCAAAACCAAGGCAAGGCGGGTAAACAGTGGTTCCATAGCCTCAGGAAATTAGTGCAACTATTTGTCACTGCGGGTTTGCTGTGATGTTCTCACGTCACTCAGTAGTTACATAAAATCACGTCCTATCATGTAGATGGTTCGACAAGGTTGTGACTTGGTTGCATCCTACGTCTGAGAGCCAAAGTTTGGCTCTAAGCCAAGTGTTGTCAACTCTAAAGCCAATGTCATTCATGTTTCCAAGCCGTCACATAGAAAACTGTCATGATAGAGAGATTGTTCTGGAACGGTGAGGTTGATGCCGTGTTCATCAACGTTCTTTGGATCAGTTGCTTTTCTTCGAGGTGTAGCAAAAAATTGTGAGAAAAGCACCTTATAGGAGGGAAGGTTTGTACCTTGACGGATACCATCCTTCCGTTGCGATGGGGAAAGCGTCGCAACAGGAGCGTGCGCGGGGCAGCTGGTCCCCTGCACACACAGCCAGGAAGTAGACAAACGCTGGTGCTTGGCTCGCTTTCTGTTCACTTAGTCTGGGACTCCAGCCCATGGGATGGTGCCCCCCACATGCAGAGGTGGCACCACAGGTCATCTGACCAATCTAGGAGCTCCCTCGCAGGCATGCCTGGGAGTTCTGTTTCCATGGTGATTCTAGACAAACACCGTTGTTATCAGCGTTGTTACTGTAAGTGTTGCTGCCACTGCTTTCAAAGGCTGGACCAGGACAGCGGAGGGGCGCGCAGGCAGTGGGTCTCATGTGGTGAGCTGAAATGTCAAGAGGGCATCAGGGCGCTCTGACTCTGGGCTGTCTTTGGTTTTCACCCCCCACGGATGCCCTGAGATACAAGTCTGTGCGCTCCTAGCGGTGGCTTAGCTGATTCTCTTACTGTGTGAGCAAGTGCCTTAGCTGCCTGTTTTAGTGAGGCTGGGACAGAATAGCATTGGGTGGAAATGGGCTTTGGGATGTTAACTGTTTTTAATCTGGTACTTCATCTTTCACAGAAACTGAGGTTTCCCCGCCTCCCAAAGCTCCTGCAAAGTTAGTCAGCTTTCAGCAGCGTGAGAAGTAAGTCTCCCTCACACTGGGTTTGGAGTCCGTTTTTCCCTTGGGTCATACACATGTAAGTTCTCTGTCTTCTCCACAGCACTTCAGCTAGTGAGAAGGAGGTGGAGGTGAGTTCAAAGCAAATGACTACCTTCTACTCCCTCCGTCCCCTCCCTCCCTCCCTCCCTCCCTTCCTCCCCTCCCTCCCTTCCTCCCTTCTTCCTCCCTCTCTCTCTTTCCTCCCTCCCTTTCTTCCACTCTCCTCCCTCTTCTGCT